CCCCCCCCCCCCCAGCCCAGCGTCGCCGCTCGCCGCGGTCCGGGGGGGACAGGGGGGTCGGGAAGTGAAGTTGGGCTCCCGTTGGGACGCGTTACCTTTGCCCGGCGCCGAGGAGACGCATCCAAGCAGCGCGGCGTGGCCACAGTCACATTTTGATAGCCAACATCTTCCCGAGCGTCAGATCCCTGTCTCGTACATTTAAAGCTGACATCACATGAAGTCACTTGGAGCAGAATGACATGGGAATGCCACCATGGAGCTTCCCCGAGCCGAGGCGCCGGGCTGGAGCGCAGTGGGTTGGGGCAGAGAGAGGAAAAGCAGCCCCCCCCTCTCCCCTCTCCACACACAATTTCCTTCCAGTTTAAGACGCACAAAATCGCTCGTGTGCGAGCTGGGATTTTTCCCCCCCCCGCTCTCTCTCCCTTCTTAAAAAGCAACTTGCAAAGCAGAGGAATCGTTTTGCATGTGGCAAATTAGAAGGCAAGTGCGATTCACAAGTTGGGTGGAAAAGAGCGCTCCAGTTCTTGCCGGGGTTACAAGAGCCACTCGGAGTGAGCGTGAGGATTTTTTTTTTTTAAGAAGGGGGAGAATGATTTTTTTTTCCTAAAGCAACTACCACGCAACCATGCTCGAGTTATTTTGGCAACCCATCTGCAATCAGCTCCGTTGCAACCGAGCTGGAAGATAATTAATAAATTGTCACTTATCTGCGAACCTCCCCAGCATGTATAAATTAATAGCCAACCCATTAATTAGGACAGTGTATTAATGTTAATTAAACTAAGTTTAATTCCACCCCCCTCCCCTATGAGGGTAGCTGGTGATTAGCCTTAAATAAACGCGGAGAGAGCCGAGTCCGAGGTTTTCGCTGCTAAATAAAAATAAAATAAAATAAACCCCGCCGCCGTGCGCTGCGAACGCGAGGTTGGCGAATTGTCACCCCCAAAAGCGCCCGACTTTCTGGGCGTGCAAACGGGTGAATATCCATCCCCTTCCCACCATTTTCGTGTTTTTGTCCCCCCTTTTTAATACATTTTTTTTTCCTTTTCCTCTCCAAGTCGCGCCTGGCTGCGGGGGTCCCTCCCGTTGCTTCTCCTAAGGAAACGGGAGGCTGCAGGACTTGCGCGCAGCGCGGAGCGAAGGCGCCCGCGCGGAGGGCGCCCCGTTTCCAGCTGCCGCGGGGGGGGGGAGGCCGCGGAGACCCCCCCTCGGCCCTCGCTATTCACCACAAGTGGTTTCCCCGCCGCGACTCGGCGCGATCCCTTCCCTTTCACTCGCAGCCACTATAGCGCTGCGTGGAACCGGGTTTTGTGCGTTTCTAAAATAAAGAGGGGGATTATCCGGGGGAGGGATGGGGGAAAAAAAA